GCATGGGGGAGGGGGCAGGATCTGTGCTGACTTAAAAGAAAAGAAAAGAAAAAAGGGAAAAAATGAGAGACTGACAGAGAGAGACAGAGAGGCCCCAACTGGAAGGTGTCATTCTGTAGCACTACTGCCCAGTCCCTGAAGAGCCACCTGCTCCAGGATGCAGTGTACAGGGAGTCCAGGTCACTGCTCCATGGGGTCCACTTCATCTCCTCAGCTGCAATCCAGAGTCACTTGGAGGAAGACTCTTGAAGGCCAAGTACCTCAAAGGGAGGCTGATCCTGCATCTTCACTCACCCTCCATGCTTCTCCCAAGCATAGTGGCTTTCTTCAGGAAGGGTTCCTTCCCCTCTCCTAACCTCCAGGCATCTCCCTTTAGACTCCTCTCAAGGTCAAATGGCAACACCTCGTTAAACAAAGACCAGAAGTCATTAGTTAGCAAACAGGGAAACCCATCACCACAGCCACTCCAATAGGCTGCAGGAAGGCCCCATCCCACCACTTCTGAAGAAGGGCAACTCCCCAGAACTGCAGACTCTGTGAGGAGTTCTTGAGATCCTGCGCGTCTCGCGACACACGCACTCACAGACACATGTGGAGGAGTGGACAGTCTTTGGCACCAGAAGCCATCCCCACATCTATAGGTTCTCGCCTGGCTGATACTGGGGCTCTGTTGATGTGAAGTAGTCCTCCAAGAAGGCCTGCAGGTACTCGAAGGTGGGTCTTTCCTCAGGATCCTTCCTCCAGCACTGGCACATCAGATCATGCAGGGATTCGGGGCACTCGGGAGGGCACGGCATTCGGTAGCCACGTTCCACCTGGTCCAGTACTTCCCTGTTAACCATCCCTGTGAGCCAAAAGAGACAAAAAGGACTGACACAGAACAATTCTCAGTGCCTGGCTGGGAACCACAGGCATGTGCTTACTGCCCTGCAGACAAGGGGGCAGGAGGGCATCTAGGACCCTCATCACTATCCACTATCTCTTCTCATCCCCTGCAGCGTCCTCTGAATCCCCAGTTGGTCACATCCCACTGACAAAGGCAGAATCCCAGTAGGCCACAGGTTCTACTTGGATAACTGCTTTTGCATTTCCCTAGCACCCTCCATCCCATGGTCTCTCTGGTAAAAACCTTGGGGTATGGCGAGACATGAGTATTATTGCTCCCAATTTACATGTGGGGAAACAGAAGGTTGGATAACCTGGCCAAGACCTCTCACAGCAAGCCCCGGGCAGAGAGAGGATCAGATCTGAGAACCCTGTTCCAACCATCAGCCACTCTAAGGTTCTTCTCACAACAACATAGCTGCAAGAAGGATTTCATCCCAGGCAACAGCTCTGGCTGTTTATTCACAAGCTCCAAATGAAGACCATTTTCCAAGCTCCAGACACGCCTAGAATGTGCCCTTCCGTGTGGAAGACTCCCTATCTGTCCCTGCCTAGAGAAGGCAAAAAACAATGCACCACATCTTTCCTTTGACAAGACCAGGGGACAAACATGACTCCAAAGATCAGCTGGGATATGCCACAGGATCAGAGCAGGGCTGTGGCCAGTGATAGCTCCAGCTCTTACCTGGGTATGGCACTCTGCCCTTGGTGGTCAGCTCAGTCAGTAGTATTCCAAAGGACCAGACATCTGACTTAATGGTAAACCTGCCATACAAAGCAGCTTCTGGGGCTGTCCACTTAATGGGGAACTTGGCACCTGAGTAAAAGGAGACAAAAATAGGGCATGGAGACATCACACAGAATATCAACCAGGGGAGCCCAGACAGGCCACAGGCCACTACTGTGATGGCTGAGGGATACTCTAAAGCCTGGTGAAGGCATCTGTGTAGGACCAAATGAGGAGGACTGAGCTAAGAAATTCCAATGAAAGAGTGCCCTGTGCGAGTGCAGACTGCACTGTCTGCATCCTCACTCCTTCCAATTTCAAAATACAGAAAGCACCAAGTCATCTGGGCTAGCTGTAGCAGGCTTAAGTCTGGGAATCACAAGATCTCGTTCTAAGTCCCAGCACTTTTAATATGAGTCTCAGCCCATGCCAGGGATTTGCTTGCAGCATCCAACTGCAGAAAGGCAATACGTCGTCCCACCATGAAAAGCAGAAGTGAAGCACTCTTTCAGAAGGAGCTACAAGATCTGTGGCAGCAGGATCATGACATATAAAGCAAGCACTTGAGTGTGAATCTGAATGAACTCAAAGTACCAAGCCAGCATCTTTACAGGGATGAGTCCTACAATGTGTACAGCATGGACTGTGACAGGGCAAGCTCCCTGTCTCACTGGCCTCAGGACACAGGAGAACTTGGCTTCTTTGTAGTGCCAGAGATGGGGTCAGTCCATATTGTGTGGGCCCAGGTACACAGGGAACTTGACAGACTTCCTACCATTTCATATTTGCCACCTAGATGGGATGTCAGCAAGTGCCCTAGAAGCAACAGGCTGTGCATATCATTCCCAAGCCATCCAGCTCTCTCAGCCTTAGTCCATTTGGAAGCACCATGCAATTCTGTGGCTGGCTTGTTTGTTTCCCCTCTGGTCCCAGCATGCTGATGCCTTCATGGGCAGTTCCACTCCCACATACCTTGCCTGGCAGTGTATTCATTGTCTTCGATCAGCCGCGCCAGGCCAAAGTCAGCCACCTTGCACACCAAGTTCTCCCCTACAAGGATGTTGGCAGCTCGGAGATCCCGGTGGACGTAGTTCATCCTCTCCACATAGGCCATTCCAGATGCAATCTGTAGCCAGCACGTGGGACAACATGCAGAGAACATGAGACACAGGGAACCCAATCATGAGTCCTTCTAGGCATGCTCATTTTAAAACAGCCATTGTAGACCCCATGAGGCACTGACCATGCAGCCCAGTTAGTTCAGCAACTAAAAACACACGGAGCCGATGAGACTTAAGAGGGGCCTGGCTTTATTTAAAAGGCCTAATCACCAGGCTAGTATTCTGTGTGGTCACAGAAAGAAGCCAGGTGGCAGCCTGATGGCAATGTGCCGTTTCACTCTGCAGACTACATGAAATACCATAGGTCTCAGACTGGTGACTTATACAGCAGCCAACTTGAGGAATGAGTTGGATGAGATGCTTGCAGTGGCAGGAGATGCCCCAGAATCTGTGCTTGCCTATTCAGCCAAAGAACAAGGGGTGGAGGTCTACTACGAAAGTCCTTCTCAGAGCATGTTTCCAGGTTGGTGACTCTCCAGCGCACCCCTAGGTTAGGCTACTATTGGCTTTGGACTGGAGGAGATTGCCACAAGAGCTATAGCTGCTGGTAAATCAGCCCAGGGGTAGGCAATACAAAATCTAAAACATCATGACTTTGGCCAGTCACATGTCTCTGCTTAACATATCAACTGAACAGAGAAAAGCAGGAGAAAGGCTAGAAGGCAAGGGCAGGCTGGATAAAGGCCATCCCATTCTGGACAGATTTTTCTGCCTTCCCCTCATGTACTTTCACTCATTATTTTGGCATAGGGTACCCCTAAATTCAGAGCAGCTGTGGGACACCTCACCCCAAGCCAATAGGGCCCCTTCATCTTTTGATCATGTTAATGATTGCTAGCAAGATGCATGGACATGCAAGACAGATGGTCTTTCCAGCTAGACCCCCACCCTGAATGGTAGGCAGCAGAAGACCTGCATTTTAAAGGCTAAAGTAGGACACTAAAAAGGCAAGAGAAGCTTCACCCATAGCTCGTCACTCAGCCAAACCCACCTGAGCCGCCATGTCCACCAGCTGGGGCAACCGCAGATACTTGCCCATCTCTCCCTTCAGGAAATCCAGGAGGCTCCCTAGTATGGAAAGGCATAAGAGTCAGTCAGAAACAACCACCACTCTGATGGTCCTATTTCCCATCCATCCAACACATTTAAATTTCAGCTCATGTGGAAGACTCCTTTAGAAACTGGAAGATGTTGCTCACTTGGAGCCGTCTCAGCTCCCTGCCCTGTTACCCACAACCGCATCCCTTTCCCCTTGCTGTCCCTCTCCTGCACCCATTCTGTCCCCTCCACACACACACACCTTTGCTCATGTATTCAGTTACTATGTAAATGGGCTCCTCTGAAACCACAGCATACAGCTGGACCAGTTTCTCATGACGTAGTTTCTTCATGACCTGGGCCTCCTGCAGAAATGCCTCTGGAGACATGGTCCCCGGTTTCAGAGTCTTTATAGCCACTCTGGTGGTGCCGTTCCAAGTCCCTGCAACAAAAATCCAAGGCTGTTCAGGACAGCCTGCCTTGACCATCATTCCCTGCCCCATCAGCTCACTGCAGTAGGATTATGTCATGACAGGATCTGCAGGGTCCTGGTGGAACATCCTGGGAGGGAGGATGTTCCACCAGGCCAAATCAGGACAAGCCACCAGAGTTTAGGGTAAGTGGAAACCCTACAGAAGTACCATGCTGAGTAGCACAGGGAGCACTGCAGCTCCCTAGGACCCACACCATTCCTGACATGTCACCTTGCCTTTGCCAGCAGTCATGGGATTAAACCAAATGTGTGGCTCACTGTTGGAACAGGAAGGAGCAACTCCTAGTGACATCTGTATAGCTGGGGTGATGGGCCAAGATTCTCACACTAAGCTGTCATGGCCACATTTCAAGTGCTGGGGAAGTCCAACATTGCCTATAAGCAGCAACCCCAGAGACCAACCAAATCAGGAGGAGAGACAATTTACATTTCTTGGAAGGAATAGAAATTCAATCATTTTGTTCATCTCCCATCTATGACTCCTTTCCCCCCTCCCCCAACCAAAAACCAGGGGTCCTTCTGGCTTGTCTTGACTAGCCAATGTTTCATGGCCCAGGGGCCTCCTGCTTTCCAGGTACTTGTTTGGGGGAATCCTTACCCATCCACACTTCTCCAAAGCATCCTTGCCCCAACTTCACCTCTAGTCGCAGGGATTCCCGGGGAATTTCCCAAGCATCTTTAGCCAGTCCTTGTGTCTGGGGCTTGGAAGTTGGGCAAACATTGGTGAGACGGTGACACAGGCCATCAGCATGTTCTGGGAAGGGGAAAGAACACAGGCAGCATGCTGACTTAGAGCGCCCTGCCATGGGTTTCCTTCAGCCCTTGCCTCCCTTCAACTCCCCCCAGCTCTCAACCCTTGGAACTTACTGCTCCCTAAGCCTGGTACATCTAAATCCCCAAGCACTTGCTCTCTTCCCCTTCTCCAAACCCATCTCTTCAGGAAACGCACTCTCTCCCCCTCCATTATTCAAGGCAAACAAGTCCCTGGTTTTCTTGCACTGCTGCTGTAGGTCTTGCTTTGCTTTATTTGGACCATAAAAAAACAACAACAAACTGGGATCAGGGAACAGACAGGCCCTCCAGCCCAGGACACCTACTGGAATAATAGGTCACCAACTGCTGCAGGCTGTTGAACTGCGTACGGGAAGTGATATAGAAGCCGCCACTGTCCAGCTTGCGGATCTTGTAGTGCTTCACATTGAGCCCCTTGGCATTGTCAAAGTCCGAGACCGAGAGGCAATAGGCACCTGCAGGAACAGCAGGAACATCTCAATCATCCCACCTCAGAGACATGCTGGGACTGCTACTCAGAACATGGGGAAGGGAGAAGAGGGAGGAGACAGGTGAGAAGGGCTGTGTGCATGTGTGCTCATGTCCCTCATGGAAGCAAATCTAGGGACACATGTATTGTGGGGATAGAGAAGTGTAAACCAAGTGAAGAGGGTGACCTTTATCCTAGAGTAAGGGGAGGGGAGACCAACAGCAACGGAGGCTGGCATCCACATCCTGCTTCTCCCTGTATGGTGCTGGACAAAAAGAGCACTGGTAGACATGAACCTCTCCTCATAGCACCTTCCTGCATCCAGAGCAGGGCCCAGGACATGTCACCTGGTAGTGCCCATGCACATGCATGCACACTGAACGAAGCCACAGGCAAAGCCCTGCCTCCCTAATCAGGTCCTCCAACTGCTTCAGCTTGTGCAGAGACCCTGCCAAGCCTCACCAGCTAAGCCATGCCAGGCAGGCCAGCGTACATACAGGAGACCTCCCTGAACACCTAGACGCTGAAGGAAGAGAAGCTGGGGCTTCCATGCTCTGTCCGTACCAAGTGCGAGCCCAGTGGGCTGCAAAGAGTTTTGTGGGACCTGCTGTTGGTGCCATCTTTTGACTACACACAAAACCAGGGGCCATGTGTGCATAGAAGGTCCCTTGGCAGTTGGACAGCTGGGGTCTTGACCCCTCAGGGTCCTGGCCGAGGGTCAACAAGACAAGTGTTTTACATGCCACTGCCCAAAAATCCCCAGCAGAGATTCTACTAGATCGCATTCCTTCACCTCCTGTTTTATGCTGCTGCATGGCATCACAGTCCACACATGCTGCCCAACAAAAAGCTGAAGATCACATCGAACCTGGATGCAGACCTGCTTGTGACACTGCCCTAGGCAGCACATAAAGCTTTGCGCCTATGCACATATTGCGAGGCAGCTCTGAAAACATCAAACACAGGAGGGAAAAAGAAGAAACCTTAACTGAGAAGACTTGTGCTGACAAGCACACCAATAGGAGAGGCAGAAAAAATAAAACAGCCGTTTCCCTTCAGTTACAGGCTACTCTTCACTGGACTGTTCCAGAAAATGCACAACGTTGTGGTGAGGTCTCCAAGATCAGCTGAACCCAGGGTAGATAAAAATTAAAACTGGATTTTTAAATCAATGTAAATTTAATTTTTTTTTTAAATGCAGTTGTATGTAAATGTTGTTTTGTGATTTTTTTGTTAAAGATGCTTTTTAAAAAAAAACATATACAGAGAGTTTTAATTTAAATATATATGTTAAAGCTTGAACATATCATGGAACAGGGATTATAACTTCTAATTATATACTATTTGAGACAGTATATTCATGCAACTTTTTAGAAGTTTTATACATAGATCACAACAGGCCCTGGACTATATTAGAGGCCCAATCTTATGGGGTTCCCAGAGGCTTCTCTAGAAATTAGTAAAGATTAAAGAAAAGCACTCTATCCAATGGGACTCAGTGCTCAGTCAAATGCGAACAGTGGTTCTCAACCTTTTTCCTACAGGGACCCATTTGCAAAGGTTCATGGCCTGTCCTGACCCACACTCCCTTGCCCTGATGGTGCCCAACTCAGTCCCTGCCCCCCTCCCAACCCATGCTGGTGCCCCTCACTCCTGACCCACAGCCCCTGCCTCCCCCCACCATGCCCCTTACTTGAGACCCACAGCCCCTGCCCTGCCCAGCCTTGGCACTGCCCCTTACTCCTAACCCACAGCCCCCGTCCCCCAGCACTGCTAGAGGGGCCCTCAGCTGCCCCTATCCTGTTCAGGCACAGTGTCTATGGTGGCTCCGGATCATGCAGGCAGCAGTGGCACGAGTCCAGCCTAAGCTGGAGGGAGGAGGGGAGGCCTGTGGCAGCTCCCACCCTGGGCTGGGTCTGCTGCACCACACCAGGCAACCTGGTTAAGGTCCCTTCCACACCCCCAGCAGCATCTCCTGGCCCTGCCCCAACCCCTGCAAGCACCTGGCCCTGGCCTTGCAGCTGTCCCCTGCCTCCTTCCCTCTACCACTCTGCCCTGCTGCAGTCTTGCCACTTTCCCAGGATCAGTGTTTCTCAACCTGTGATTTGTGACCCTCTAAAATCTTCTTGTGACCCACGGACTGAGAAATGCTAGTCTAGAAAATCCCATTAAGCATCTCTGTGATGCTTAGTTTCAGTTCTCAAACTGTGGATTTGTCTCTCCAGACTCTCTCTAAACGTGCCGTTTCAAGAAGTTAACAAATAAAGAATAAAGCAACAAGACGGCACTTTTTGTAGAAAACAATGATTAAATTGAGGCTTCCTGACCAGTGATTTAAATTGTGCTTTAAAACAGGATTTAAAGCCATTTGATTTAAATCAAATCCACCCTGGCTGACCATGCTCTGGGTCAAGATGCCTCTTTACATGATTCCCAAGCAAGGTAAAAAGAGTAATAGTCCCTGCTGGGTTACAGGAGCGGAGCTGCAAGGTGGAGGAACTGACAACTGAACCACAACCTCAGCAGCCCTTGCTGATGCTGGTCTGGCTGGCAAGGGGGCAAGCAGCCATGTGATAAGAGCAAAGATGAACACATCACTGGGAAAGGTTCTAGACCAGGGGTACCAAAGTTTTTATCCCGTGGCCTGGTAAACCACAGCCCGGAAGTGGCCATAGCCCAGCAGTCAGCCAGCCACGGCTGGAATTTCTGGCTGGCAGACAGGTAAGGATACTCCCACTGCCCAGGCAGGGGGGTGGGCCAAACCCTGTGCAGCTGCAGGCCCTGTGAAAGAAACCGCAACCTCTCTGCCCAGCTCTGAGGGACCGCAGTTTGCTGGTCTGCAGCCACTTCTGGTTCAGCAGCCGACTGTGTTGCAGACAGGCAGCTGACCTGTCACGGCCCAGCACCAGGCCATGGCTTGGGGATTGAGATCTCCTGCTCTAGACAGCAACAAAGTAGAAGTCTGCCTAAGCAGGAAAGAAATCACATCCAGATCACCAAGGAGAGGAATAGCTGGTAGACAGAGGACTGGATAGCTCCTAGCATTCCCTCTCTGAATGGGAAGCAATAGCAGGTTGCCTTGTCAGAGCAATTCAGACAGGATGCTGCTAGGTATGAGGGGGATAGGGCTTATGGGCTGTGTTTAAAGAAGTGATGGATCCAAAATAAAAAAAAACTGTCAAATCTAGACACCTTCCAGCTCTGGAGAAGGTTGGTTCTGAAGGCCAGTTTGGACCCCATCTCTGCTCCTCATGCAGTAGCAATAAGTTTGAGCGGGGGATGCAAAATCTCCATGGTAAGGTCTGTGCCATGTTTAAGAGTTTCCTGTGAAACATGTTAAAGCCAAACCCAAGACAAACATCCTCATTAAAAAACTAGGTGACTGTGGCATTGATGCCTACACAGTCAGATGGACTGCAGATTGGCTGAAGGGTTGCACTCAGAGGGTGGTGGTGGACAGGTCATATTAGACCTGGAGGAAAGTGGGCAGTGGAGTCTCCCAGGGCTCGGTCCTTGGGCCTGCGCTGTTCGATTTCTTTAT